CCACCGTCGGCGGCACGCGGAGCTCCGACGGCTTGACGTCGCAGAAGATGGGGATCACCTTCTTCCGCGACTCCATCATGAGGGCGAGCTCGTGGAGGCAGAAGTAGGACTCGCAGTAGCGCGGCGAGAAGACGGCGACGCCGACCTTGCACTGGCGGATGGCGCGGTTGATGTTGTCAAACAGCTTGTCCCCAGGCTTCATGCTCTTGTTGTCGAGGAAAGGACGCAGCCGCAGCCTCGCCAGCTGGTCGTACAGCAACGTCACCACCGTCCGCTTCGTGTCGATCCCTCGGTGGTTGATGAACACGTCGCACGTCGGCCGCGACGCGGCCCGCCTCACCGCCGCGGCGTTGGGCCCGGATTCGTGCTGGATTTGGGCCAGGAGCCTGCGCTGCATGGACTGGATTGGCAGGCGGTTCATGGTTTTGGTGTCGAGTGGCGGCGGGTGATTGTGTGTTTTTTAGCTGGTTAGTTTGGTTGTTGCGGTAGGTGTTTTTTTGTTTGTGTTGTGTGTGTTTGGTGTTGTGAGTGGGATTTATTTATAGGAGTCGGCAGGAAAGGAAGGAATACTAGGTTGAAAGTTTTTGTCGTTGTATGAGTAAAAAAGGAAAAAAACATTCGAATGAGGGACCAAATATTGGGAGGTCAGACAAAGATCGATGCTGGTCTTAGAGTTGAATGACTGTTTTGGTTGGGTTCTGTTTGATTTGTGCTGACTCTTTGAGTCTTTAGACTGCTTCTTCTTGTGTAATTTTCAGGAAGATTACAATAGAGAGAAACAACTTGTAACCCTACGGAAAATGTACGTCTAGTTACGTTTCAATAACTCTGAATTGTTAAGAGATGTTTGTGTGTCTGATACTTAACAACTTTCTTATACGTCTCCTCGAATTAATAAAAGCCAGCTCATGGGAGTGAAGTTAACATAAGTCCAACATATCGCATGTGGTATAAGGACAGTTGATATTCAGGGGGGCCGTGAGCACTTGAACAACTCTGATACTCATGTAGTAAACCAACTTATCTCAATAACTCGAGTTGCTTGTTGGAAATTATAGTTTTTTTAACGATAACATATCAACATTCATGCAGTGTGCAATCTTACTTATTGAATGAGCAAGCCCAAATTTTTTTTCGCACAATATGTTATTGTTCGTTCTAAGAAAAAAACCATTTCTTTCACTTTGGTAAACCCGGTCGCGCATAGAGATCATACTTCGGTGTCCATTTTTTTTTGCTGAAGGGCTCATCGTGCATGAGAGTTTGAATTGTTAAAGGGAATTGAAAGGGAAGTGAAAATCAAGGCTGACTGACTGATAAAAAGTAATGAAGATGGAGCTCAAAGTTATCAATCAAGATCAGCGCGTGTATATGGTGATGTTGATAGTTGGGAGGAGTTGGAAAAAGACGAGGGTTTGACCTGCCAGTATTGTCTGTGTACGATTTGGGTGGGGGGGATTTGGGATATTGAACCCTTCAAATACGCTAGTGTCGGAGACAGCAAGAAAGCAAGGACTTCCACAAAACGTATTGTCTTGTTATTAATGTTTGATTCAAAAAAGCACCTACAGTACAAAACAATATGATTTGTGGAAAACAAAATACACGGGCCGGGCTGGGTATGAACCAAAAGCACACTTGTCTCAGTTGTCTGGGTAACTCGTCATCGGGGAATGTTAGGCACATTTTGAAGGTTGTTTTGACTAGTTAGCTAGGAGCCTAGGACTAGGAACTATTCCTCTTCTTCCCATGAAAATACACTCGTTTGATCTGGAATTAATTTGGACTGCAGTCTGTAGATGATTTTTTTGTCTTGCCAATGCATGTTGAGGTTATTTAGTTATACTTATTCTAGTGCTTTTTATGGACGGGTGCATTCGTTACGATAAATCTGAATTGAATCGCTATGAACCAAATCAGTAAACTATTATGTTTGTATTTGGGTTCAAAGAATCAATTGTGTGTGCTGACTGACCAGTAATTGATATTTACTTTGATTTATTTTGAACCGAACAATTAGAGCATTAACAACCAAAATCTAATTCCCCAAGCCCATTTGCCCCACGGCCCACCAGCCCGCCCGCTGCCATCCCTTCCCCACTCTCAGTCTCAAGTTGGCCTCAACTCAAGATAAGTCGGGGCTTATGGCCCTGCCAAAAAGATCGTAAATGATCCAGTATCGTACATATAAATTAGATAAAGGTGTAACACGAATACCTAAGTGTAAAAAAAGCATGGTTCATGAAACCGTATCGGATATCATACCGGAAAATTCAGCGGTATGATATTTTATGGCTAAATTACACGTTTGGTCACTCGAATTATATAAATCTTTCATGTTTGCCACCCGAATTACTTTTCTTTCTTATTGACCACTAACTTTACAAATCATTTCATTGTTAGTCACCGACCATTAGTCTCCGTTAGACTCCGTTAACTCTGTCAATTTTTTGATGACATGGCAAACAGAAATGTTGACTAGACAGTTGACTTAATAATATATCAACTTAAAAAAATAAAACAAATTGTTAATTAACACCTCATCCTCTCCCTCCGCATTTCGCAAGCTGCTTCTACCAAGGTCGAGACAGCCATCCACTCTGAGCTCTCGCCGGCTTCTTCTCGCTGGAGTTCCCCAATGCGTCGCTTTCCCCGTCGATATGGGAACCGACGATGGATTGGAAATTGTTTCTCATCGATTCGGCCATGTGCGGAGAGCCGGAGATCATAAAAATATTCGATTAAATTTGTTTGGTTGATTGATTGTGGGCTTGAAAATAAAAATTGACATTTACCAGCACCGGCAAATTGTATCTCCAGTTTCCATTTTGTTTTGGGGTGAAATATTAACATTTTGGGCTTTTCGAAGATCCGATTATGCAGGGGTGAAACCCTTCTCAAAGGAATAAGATAAAGCCGGTGAATCTCGACGCCGCCGTCTCTACCTTCCTCAACGATAATGTCGTAGAGAGAAGAACCCAGATGGTGGCTGTCAATAGACGTTCAATCCTTCGCCGAAAATCGCCTAGATCTAGAGATCTGCTCCACTCTACCGAAAATAATCCAGCCTAGAGATCCCTTCCTCTCTCTTCTTCGTCGGTGAAACCCAGAGTTTGAAATCAATAAATTTCTACACTCTCAAGATGCCCCCTAGTAGTCGAACCGACGCTTGGTCTTCTCGATGGTGGCTTTGATCGCCATGGCGGGGGCGTTGAGCTTCAGCGACAACTCCATCTTCTTCAGGGACAGCTTCTCCCGATTGGCAAACTGACTACTTGCACGGGGTGTGGCTGGAGATGTCGGCGACGGGCGGAGCGGGGCGAAGAGAAGGATCGAGGAGAAAGCTAGGGCGGCAGAGAAGACCTTGAGAGGCGAGGAGGTGGCGCGTGTGGAGTTGTTGTTGATGGTGTCTTGGAGGCAGAGCATACAAGCCGATGAGGCTTTTACATTCTGATGGCTGAAGAGATTGGGAAATGGAAAGTAGTGGAGGAGAGGGAGGTGGGAATTTGATGGAGAGGAAGGGGATAATTTGGGAAAGGGAAGTTGTTAAGGTGGAACTTGGAAGGATTGATTGAGGATGAATCATGATTTTTTTATTTGTATTTTTTAATAATAAATTACATATTCTGTTAGTACAGTCAGACTCAGGAGTTCTGTTTGCCATGTCACCAAAAATTTAATTGAGTTAACGGAGTTTGACGGAGCCTAACGGTCGGTGACTAACGATGAAATTATTTATAAAGTTAGTGGCCAATAAGAAAGAAAAGTAATTCTGGTGGTAAACGTGAAATATTTATGTAATTCGAGTGACCAAACGTGTAATTCAGCCGATATTTTATGATAAAATCGTGGTTTTACCGTAGTTGAACCGTTAGACCGTTAAATACCGCCTACCGATTTAGCCTCCGATACTGGTATTTCGTGGTTGAACCGTCAGTACGGTATGGTTTCATGACCATGAAAAAAAGTCTTTACAATTTCCAAGGAAAACATATAGAAGATGGCAGAAGCCCCCCTGGAGGAGTTCTGAAGCTCAACATTAGAGAGCAAATTTTGTCCTTGGCTTTGCTCGAAGTGAGAAAGGTTGCTGCGATGTGGAGGAAGTGGAGGCGACGCGAGCCCCTAGAGCAGCGGCAGCCTAATTCTGTAGCTCACCAATTAGCACATATATTTCTCGGGCTGGGATTCTTCTCTAGTGTGGGCCGAAAGACAGCCTTTTGTGATGGTTTGGCCGTTTGGGCCCTTGAACCTCTTTAACGAAACAGATCCAGATTTCCATAAAATAAAAGGAAAATAACAGGGAAAGCAAAGGTAACAAAACAAAAATATTCGTAATCGTGAATGTCCACCCGAATGTCCGACATAATTGGATAGGGTAAAATTCGAATCCAAAGAATTTTTAGTGGATACGGATAAAACTCGAACTCAAATATTGCGGATAATGGGTGAATATGATCTTCTCACGCTCGATTATACACATACATAAAGTATTTTTTCTAGAAATAATCATTATTTTTCTCTAACATATTTATATTTAACATATAAATATAATATTTTCATAAAATTATGTTGCTTTAATTAATTTTCTTCATTCTAGTGAATTATTATCGTACTTTTACATTCTTCTTATGCAGTGTAAAGTTCCGAGAATTTGTTCCAATCACAAACAGTGTAGGGAGTGTAAAGTTGAATGACTATTTTGTTAAGAATCGCAATTTTGTCACCCAAAAAGTTAAGCGACCATTTACACAATTGACCCTAACTATAAGATGACAAGAGAGGAACCGCAGAACTCTCTCGGTCTCTCCATTCCCCACAGTTTCACACCGTCGCTGGTTCCCCAAATTGTGAATCGTTGCTTGTGCATGGTTCCCGATTCCTCTTTCTCCCGACATTGCTAAGGAGCTCCAGGTACGAACTCATCGTTGTCTTCTAATTAGCGCTGTAGCTTACTGTCGTAGTACTGTCCTGTAAGCCCTAGTTTCTCACCTGGATTTCTTCATATCGCGCTTCTTTATTATGCCGTTGTTTACTTGGATTCCTTAGAAGAGGCGGGTTGCTGAGCATAACCCAGTATGTAGATTGTAGCATGCCTATCTTTCGTGATTTCACAATTTATAAATGATTGAACTTTACTGTTCCCTGGTTATGATTCTTGTGATTTCAAATGTTTTGGAAAAAAAGGAGGACGACAATGGCTGGGAATTCTGGAGAGTCCAAGAAACCCAAGAGGAGCCATGCTGTTGACAGGCTAAGCCATCTTCCTGACAACGTTCTCCATCACATTCTCTCGTTCCTTGACACCAAATCCTTGGTCCGAACAAGCCTTCTGTCGAGGAAGTGGAGATCTTTGTGGAAACATGTTCCCGCCCTCAATGTCCTCCGTAAGTCCTTCCCTAACTTGTTGAGTTTCACAAAGCACATAAGCAGGATCTTGGCTACCCGCTACCGCAGTATCCCTGTGAGCAGCATTACCTTCGACATATGTGGAGATAAGTGGCCAGGTGCTGTGAAAATATTTGAAAAGATCATGAAATATGCCGAATCTCATGGGGGTGGTGGTGGTCTTCACCATCTGTCCATCGTCGATGATGAAATGCATTTCCTCACGAGAGATGTGATCAATGTAATCACAGCTTCTCGTCATAACGAATCGCTCAAGACACTCAAGTTTGAGAGATGCTGTCTCCAATGTGGTGAATTTGATATGGACTTCAAATTGCTTACAACTCTTGAACTGCAGAATTGTATCCTGCAACATAACTATACAGTGGAGTCCTTCGATCCGTTTGGTAATCTGCCTTGTCTTAAATACCTGAAGTTAATTGGATGCGGTGTATATTGTGAAGACACTGGGCTGAAAATATCGGGACTTGAGTTGCTTGGCCTTGAAATTGAGAGTTCAAACTTCTACGGTGGTTATGAAGTGATTGCTCCGAAGCTCAAAGCTTTATATCTAAGGAATACGAACCATCATCCTTATCTCCCCAAGTTGAATCTACCTGCTCTCGATCATGCAAACATCCGTCTTAGTTGGCACATATCATACGGTAATGCAGCATCAGAAGAGGATCGCGCATTTATGAATTTTTTGGGTAGTCTGCGGAATGTAGAGTCTCTCCAGCTACGTTTCGACAAGGTACGGACTGTCTGCTCTTTTCAAAGAACATTAAGCAGTTTCATTAATGCAAATGTCAGCTTACATGAAAGGGTGATAGTTGCTTACATACTGACGCCACTTCAGAATTGGCAGTGTTGGTTCGTGTATTCCTATTTAGTCAATATCCATAGTTTGGTTTTGATACATTATTGTGTTTTCCTATCAGGCCAGGAATATTTATGGGCAAGAAGACCAGTTTCCTCTTAACAGAATCAAGGCCTTAATAAAGCCCGAGGCCCCTCCTTTTACCAGGTTGAAGACCTTGAGGTTACAATGCGTGGGTCTAAAGAAACTGCCAAACATACATTATGAAGTGATCCGCTATTTTTTTGAAGGCTCTCTTAGTACGGAAGAAAGGGTCGTTAAGCTTGAGCTGGTTACTCAAAAGCAGACCTAATTCTTCCAATGGTGTCAAAACTAGTAATAGTCATATTCTCAACTTGAATGCATGGCAGCCATGATCCAAGGACGAGAGAAATTGAATGATGAATTGCGTTGCTGTTAGTCCAGTCATCCCGAAATGTTTATTTTGCGACTTTCCGCTTGGGTGGAATGCACAAAGTGTGTCTGACTTTGTGCTAATCTGTGTTCATGAAGGTTGGTACTGTGTAGGTAAAGCATTGACTTAGGAATCTAGGGATGTTTGATGGTCGCATGCTTATTTTTTGCATTTTGTTCATTAACCAGACACAACCATGCTGAAATAGCAGCCACGTAAAGAACTTCTGCTACTTCTGTGTAGTTTCTTCTGCATTATTGACCTAGGATGCAGGGGAAAATAGATGGTGCAGTGCTCGAATGTGAAAACCAACTATGCAGAATTAGACGAGGCCACTTCTTCCTTTCTGATTGTCAGTAAGGAACTCATGTTTGCATATGATTCAGTGAGATCCTTATGTTTATAGTTGTTTGAGCCCGATCGACTGGGGGTCGCTCGGGTCCAAGGGGTTTGGGGTGTCAGCCATGACCTTGAAAGGGGTAGGCGCCCCTCCTCGTCCGAAGCAGAAGAAAAGAAGAAGTAAGTAGAGAGGGAAAGTAGAGAGAAGATAGAGCAAAGAGTCGATAGATCTTATTTATGAGGAGAGAACTCCTATTTATACACAATTGAGGGTTAGGTAGTGGTCTGGGCGCCTGCCAAGCCATAAATGCTCTGGTCGGGCGCCTCAGACTCTCTGACACTGTTCATAGTCCTTTTGGCAGAGGGTGTCCCCCTGCCCCTTGTCCTTGCTGATGTCAGGTGCCTGACCTTGTCTTTTGTCTCCCAGCCTTGTCTTTTTCCTCTTGTCTTCTTTCCTTCTTCATGCCATTAGCCATGATATTAATCCCTTAATTACTATGATATCCTATCAATTGCCCCTTTTGGTGATGGCACAAGTAGTGTGGCATCGGCAAACAAGTATGTTCTAAAAAGGTCTAAAATAAATAAATAAATAAATAAAATAAAATAAAACAAAATAAGATCAAGAATGAAAAACAGTTGGAAAATTAAATAAATGAATAAAATAAATAAGACAAGATACCCCTAGACGGGGGGTGCCACGGTATGAGAAGCAGGGAGGAGGGCAAAGATGCTACCCTATACAGACTGCTTATTGCGCTTTTGGGCCAAGCCCAGCGTGGGAATGAGCCTGGCGACTTGGAGATGGAGTTAGGGGGAGGAGTGGGTTTTGGGTTACCCACCTCGTAAACAGTGCGCCTCTCTCTCCTCCCTTATATAAATATGCCTTCCCCCTTGTTTTCCTCCTCCCCCCCTTTTTTCTTTTCATTCGGCCGCCCCCTTCCCTTTTTTCTTCTCATTCAGCCGCCCCCTTCTCTTCTCTCCCTCTCCCTCTGGCGGAAGGCGCCTCTGCCCTCTTCGCCGACGCCTCGCACCGCCGCTCTACTTTGCTTGGAAGGCGCGCTCCCCTCGGCCCTCTTTCCTTTCCTCCTCGGCGTTCTACTAGTCAAAGGCGCCTCCGCCCCCTTCGACTCGGTGCCCGCGCTGCTTCCCCTCATTTGGCCGGCGCCTGCTTCGCAAAGGCGCCCCCGCCCTTTCGACAGCGCACCCCGCGCCGCTTCCTCCTTTATCTGGTCGGCGCCTCCTACTTTCTTCGGCGCCATTCTTCGCGAAGGCGCCTCTGCTTCTGCCTTTTCCACCGGAGCCTCGCGTCCGTTCGCCCTACCCGATTCATTCACCAGGTACATGTTCTTTGGATTTGAATGGTGACGCCTCCGGTGTATGCTTTTGAATTGAAAGGAGGCGCCCTCAGTTATTGCTTTGACAATTCGATTAGGATTTGTAAGAAAGCCCCTTCGATTATCACGTCCAATTAGGGTTTATGAGTAGGCGCCTCTAACCATTCTTCCCGATTAGGATTTGTGGGTAGGCGCCTCCGATTACTCCCGCTCGGATAGCCGAAGTTTGTGTTCATATGCTAGGCGCCTTTGATTAGGATTTGCGGGTAGGCGCCTCCGATTATTCCCGCTCGGATAGCCGAAGTTTGTGTTCATATGCTAGGCGCCTTTGATTAGGATTTGTGGGTAGGCGCCTCTGATTATTCCCGCTCGGATAGCCGAAGTTTGTGTTCATATGCTAGGCGCCTTTCATTTCCTTATTCTTCTGTTTTTGCAGGTGCCGCTTCTCCAAGCTTCGGAAGTGTTTCTGCCCTTTTAACCCAGGTAGGTTCTGCTTCTTGCTTTCGGTGTAGTATTTTGGTTTTTGCTAAGCGCTTTGGTTTTGCTCGCCACTTTATGGTTGTCATTTTTGCTCATGGTGCAGACTCCCATTCAAGGCGTCCCTAGGCGCCTCATTACTAGTGGTTACGGGTCGCTATAGCGGTTTCTTGCCCGCGCGTTATCGGCTTAGGCGCTGTTCACGCTTCTCTTCCAGGGTTAACTTCGCTGCTCACCACTCACTCATGGCTTCCAATAATTCTCAACCTTCTGCGTCTGTGGGTGGCGCCCCTGCTTCCAAGAAAGGAAAGGAGAAGGCGTCCTCAAGTAAAGTTAGGAAGATGGGTAAGTTACGCTCTCTCTATCTCGTTAACCTTAATATCATATATATTTGCTGTTTGGGAATCTTAGCGGATCAAACAGTGTATAGACGATCCAAGTGGAGACTTGCCGAGATTGCTAGTGACATCGAGGATGATCAATCATACACCCGCCAGGAGGTGCTTACTGAAGATGATACGTCAAGTGCGGACCCCGACCCTTGCCCATCTTCTTCTCGGACGGTTACCGATTCAGGTTATACGATTTTACCATGGCGGGGGATGTGGGGTGGCGAGGCGCCTCCCTCTTCGGCGCGCCTACTGGGTCCGGACAAGCGGCCCAGCATTCAACTCCATCGCGTTATAACTTATATCCGCGGCCTAGGTTACCCTACGGACTGGGGATATGCGATTCCGGATCGCCATGCTCGCATCGGGAGTTGCCCTGAGGGTTGGTTCGCGGTTTACTCGGAGTACCTGAAGTGCGGTTTGAAGTTCCCATTGAATCCTATCTTGTCGGGTATTTTGGAGATGGTCGGATGTCCTCCTAGCTTTCTGTCCCCTTCGCTTATCTTCCACACTTGCGCCTTCCGGCTCATCTGTAAGCGCCTAGGCTACATCCCTTCGTTCTCTATCTTTCGTAGCATATATGCACTGGAGCGGGGTAAGCATGGTTGGTCGGCTGTGAAGCGCGATAGTAAGTACCAGGGGCGGATTTGCAAGGGATCACCTAAGCTCCCTAGCAAATGGTATTGCTCTTACTTCTTTATTAGGCCGACCCCCGACACTTGGCATGCGCCAACTTCGGCGCCTCTCTCGACTCTGTGGGGTGAGGGTTCGGAAGAAACTTGGGCTAAGGATTTTACCCTTGCGAAGCCTGAGCGGGAACAGAAACACCACATTCTTCGTGCGCCCCCCGTGGACTTTGGGAGAAAAGGGGAGAGAGCGCGCGCCTTGGGAGAACTTTACGACCATGGTATATTCCTTTCGAATAATTTTATTCTGTGTCCCAACTTATGGTATTTGCATAACTCTTTTTTTTGCAGATTTTGACTACTCGAGCCTGGCGAAGATGACTAAGAAGGTTCCTGGGACTTCCGGAGCTAGGGCACAGAAGGCGCCCAGCATCCCTGCCGAGCGAACGCCCCGTTCATCTGGCAAGGCGTTTGACGACGTCGAGGAGGCGTCTCCTCGATTGTTTCCTTCCTTGGGGTCGCGCGACCCTCTCCCAGAGAAGACCCTAGGCAAGCGCCATGCCTCGGCCGACTCTCCCATTGTGGTTCCGAAGAAGAAGAACAAGCCAGGTCTTGGGAGCATTGATGAGATTTTGGCACCTCCTCGCTCGCGACGTGCCGTAAAGCCGAAGGAGCCTGTTCCAATCTCTCCGTCCGCTGCTCTTAATGCTCCAAGCGCTTTTATTTCGGCCTTGGAGTTGAAGAAGTTCCTTAAGGTTCCCCTTGACGAGGGTACCTCTCCTGCAGGTTCGGCGTGTCAGCACTTGTTCCAGGTATGCTCCCACACACTTTTATTATTAGTAGATCATGCTTCATTACTAATTGTTGTTGTTTCTTGTTTAGGCGATGCTTGATGTGATTACTCTTTCTGACAAGAGTGCGGAGAATCGGGATCGTGCCCATCAGAACTTTCTGCAGGCTTCTCAGTTGAAAACTGACAAGATCACCCTCCAAGGTGTTAACTCTCGTCTGGAGGATGAGTTGGCATCGGTGAAGCGACAGCTTGCAGATGCCTTGGCTGCTGAGAGTGTTTCTGCTCGTGAAGAGAAGGAGAAGGAGATAGCATTCCAGGCGAAGCGGATTGACACCTTGGAGAAGGAGCTGTTGGCGATGTCTGCCGCTAAGGGTCACCAGAAGGTGAGTTCTCTTGTTGTGTCTTCCTTGCTCTCCCTTCATTCGAGCTAGGCGCATAACCACACACCTTTTTTTTTTTTTTTTTTTTTTAGGAGGAATTTAAGAAGAGACTGATCAAGGAGCGTGAAGATGCCGTAGACGCCCACTTGTCATCAGCGGAATTTCGTGAGTGGCAGCAGAACCTGCTGCTCGGAGTGAAGAAGAGGGCTTTCATCGGCATTCGCAAGAAGGTCCGCTCCGATAATCCTGACATGAAGTGGGACACTCCGGAGGTCTGGCAGGCTATGGATGACTACTTCCTCTCCCTTGGTACGGATAACGAGCCTTCTGACTCGGACCCGTACCCCTTGGATGAGGGTGACTCTTCTGCCGATGATGTGGAGGTTGACGTTGAGAAGGTTGGGGAAGAGGGAGTGGGTGACAACGTTGATGCCAATGCTGGTGCCGGGGAAGGTGGTGGGGACGTGGTTGTTGTCGATGGTCAGGGTGGCGCCTCGGATGGTGGTACCGATGGTGACTCTAGCTCGTCCGACAATCATTCGAGCAAGTCAGACTAGTAGAGTTGGGACGTTTTTTTCTTTTCCTTGTTCGTCTGGACTTAGTCAATTTTATGCTATCTTCTGCTCATTTCTCCCTTGCATGTCTGTGGATGTTTTAGCCTTCGGGCTGTTATTTTGAAACAGTGTTATCAGCGAGTTTTCCGCTTTCTTGGACCTATTGTGAATGTTGTTTGTCCTGTCTTATATTTGACAAGAAGTAGTAACGCGCCCAGGCTCTTTCTTTTTGGGCCGCCCATGCGTATTCTTGAA